GAAGCGAAACCGGTCGGACCCGAACCGGGACCCTCCGCCCTCGCCGGAGGTGGCTTCTCCGGCGAACTCCTTGCCAAATAATCCGTTAGTGGAGCTATCCGTGCTGCCTCGAACATTATCTCGGATTTTCCTCTCGCCGAGGTCGAGTGGGCCGGTTTGTGTTTCGGGTCGGGCTAATTCGATTGCCAGAGGTGGGGATTCTTTAACTTTCATTGGAATGAGGAAGTTTTTGGAGGATCCATATGACGAATTGGATAATCCGACGGGGATTTTTCAGCTTTGTGTTGCTGAGAACAAGGTGGGTGCGTGGCTTTATATGTAAGTAAGATTTTTCTTTTCTTTTTCTTTCTTTCTCGGTTTCTGAGTTGATGAATTTCGATGTTTAAAACGATAAAGTTGTCCTCGGACTTGGTGCAAATTTGGCTGACGGAAAATGGAAGGGATGCTATATTAGGAGGACGGAATCATAATGAGCTGAGTGTGGCTGGAATTGCTAGCTACCAGCCTTCGGATGGATTGGCGGATTTGAAACTGGTAATCAAATATTTTTCTCTCTTTTCTCTGTATCAATGTTTTGAATTTGTTGGATTGCTTTCATGGGAGAGATTTGGTCGGTGAAGAAGTTTGGTGAGCTCTGTTTTTATTTCTCTTGTTGGTGCTGCATGCATGGATTTGTGTTCTGTGTTAGAATATAGTTATGAAATTCTAACTTGTTTGCAAATGCTGAAAACTTTATGTGAGTATGTGCTTTCACCCCTGTTAGAAACTTAGGACCTTCATCCACTGTGTACACATTCTTGAATATTATTCATAGTATGAATATGGCTTTTGGAGACTGGAGAAACTCTATCTTGATTGTGTTAGAAATTGAATTCGGTCCGGGGGATGTAAAAGTAAAATTCCATTGAAAAGAGGCACAAAGTTGACTGCAGAGAGTATAATGACGTATTGTGTATGACAATTGATTGAATGCTTATCATGGAGTTATGATCTGCGCACCTAAATCTCACGGGACAACTGCCTGACCCTACTGCATTTGGTTGCTTAGGTAACTCGTAGAATATTAAATCCTAGGTAGGTGGCCACCATGGTTTGAACTCATTCTCTCTAAGCCCTTCAGCCCTTTGCTATTTACCTTGGCCTTTGTTGATCACTAGGCCACACCATGTTGGTTGGGACCTTTCATTTCCTAACAATGAAATTATCAATTTCTGTCAAACGTTTATCCAATGTTAATGTTTGATGCTGATATTTACCATGTTAGAGGAGATTTTAAGATTTTCTCCACAACTTGTAGGGGTTTTTATTACTTATTTCCTGCACCCCTGTTGAGGTTTCTATTTGGAGCTCTAGCTTCTCATGCTTGTGCCATTTCCTTTTTATTTGTATTGCATTTGATTGGTGAGTACCATTTGGAGTTCCTTCTAATGAGTGTTTTCTGGCTTCTGAGATTTACCTTTCAATTCCAAGCATATTTTGATTTATTTGTTCCTACAGGCAGTGGCAGGTTTCATGTCTCAAGCTTTGGGGAACTCTGTTTCCTTCAGCCCTTCACAATTAGTAATTACAACAGGAGTGACCTCTGCAATCGAAATTCTTAGCTTCTGCATAGCAGACCTGGGACAGGCGTTTCTCGTCCCTACTCCATATTACCCTGGGTACTTACTCATTTCTTTCTCATGGAATACTTTATTTAGGTTTCTCCCAGAAAACTGAAATTATGAATTGTTAATGCAGTCTTGATAATGATGTAAAATGGCGAACTGGGGTGGAGATTGTACCCGTTCCCTGTCGCAGTGTCGATAACTTCACCTTAAGCCTAGCTTCTCTTGATCGAGCATTCAACCAGGCCAAGAAACGGGGCCTTAAAGTTCGTGGAATCATTATCTCGAATCCCTCAATCCCTGTTGGAAACCAACTACATCGAGAAACACTCTACAACCTTCTTCACTTTGCCAGGGAGAAAAACATCCATATAATATCAAACGAAATATTTGTAGGGTCAACGTATGGAAGTGAAGAGTTCATAAGCATGGCTGAATTGATCAATTCAGAAGACAGCGACCGAGACAGAGTACATATCGTATATGGTTTATCTGAAGACCTGTCACTTCCTGGTTTTAGAGTTGCTGTAATCTACTCTTTGAATGAGAATATCCTGGCTGCTGCTAGAAAATTGGCAAGGTTCTCATCTGTTTCTGCCATTACTCAGAACCTCCTTTCTTCTATGCTTTCAGATACGGTATTCATCCAGAAATTCGTGAGGATCAATAGAGAGAGGCTCGGAGAAATGCACGGTAAATTTGTTGCAGGGTTGAAGGAACTCGACATTGAGTGCATTAAGAGCAATGGAGGTTTCTACTGCTGGGCTGATATGAGCAAGTTAATCTGCTGCTATTCTAACGAAAAAGGGGAACTTGAGCTCTGGGATAAGTTGTTGGATATAGGTAAAATTAATGCTACCCCTGGCTCTTGCTGTAATTGTATCGAACGGGGATGGTTTGGATTCTGTTTCACAACTTTGATTGATAAAGAAATACCTATTGTTATGGACCGAATTCGGAGAATTTCCGAAGTGTGTAAATCTTGTAGCTGAAATGAAATTCTTATTCTGTGGATATGTCTCATCTCTACAAAGGTTTTTCTAGGCTTTTGTAGTTATTTATAGGCACGTACCTTGGACTATGGCTGGGCTGGCTAAGACTTGAGGCCAAAAAGTGTCTCTAAGTATTAACTATAAGGGCCACTTGTATGTTTGAATAATCCCTATCCTCCTATTATTTGATTGATTACTCAAAAAATGTGTTAAGAGAACAAATTTAGAGCTAGAACAGAATTTTTATTGAACTAGCTGCACCTTGTAATATCTTTTAATTCTTTTAATTTTTTCCTCCTTGTTCCTTTCTTAAATACTCTCAATACAGAGTCAGTTCACTCATACGACCCTTCACTTAGAAATCTGCTAGGAGTCCTTTTGTTTGTGCTTCTCCTTTTACACCAGTAACCGCACCATGCCCTCTTTCGACTCGAAAAGTAACACCAGTTCAAATTCCTACAGTATTAGTTTCCAATATGAATAGTACTAACCTTACTGCAAGATCTTTTCTTGAGTTTTGACTTGCAGCAAAATATATCATGACCAACCTTCTATACGAACAAAACATTCTAGGATTGATCCAATGCCCTGTTCGGTCCCTTAGTTTGCTTCTCTTATGGTCTGATTCCATTTCAAGATTCACAATGTTCAATATTTAAACTCCCAACTTCTCACTGCTACATAAATTACCACTAGTTTTCATCTACTTATATATCAATATCAACTCTTGATAATTGCACATATATATTGAATAAATAGTTCAATACATTTAGAAATCACTCAAGACTTGTCACTCCTTCCTAGAGAGAGATAGAGAGAAAGAGAACCCTGTGTCACCCCCCTGATGATTCCCATCACTCTCTCTGAAAAAGAATGAAAAGAGCAGTGTCAAAGCGATCCAAATGTTGGAATTTTTTCTGTAACTCAGTCATTAAGGCCAAGTTCTCTTGATGAAGAATATTGGCTCTCTCTCTCAGCTTCTCATTCTCTTCAATTATGGTCTGATTCTCCAGATATAGCTGTAGATTCTTCAGCTCAATATCCTTCCCCACCTTCTCCTCAGTGCATCTCCTCCTGCTAAAACCAAAAAACCCCATTATTTCCATATCCTTCTATAACATCAAAAAAGGGAAATGGGTTTGGTAAGAAAGAAAAACCTGGTGAGCCTCTGAACTTGAAGTTTGGATCTTTTCAAACGTCTCCTGTTCTTGGAAGTATGGATTTGATGAAATGGGCTGCTCTCTGTTGCACTGATACACATTCTTATTCCCTGCAGCTTCTTAACTTGCTTTTCTTTGTAGTAGAACATATGGAAGGACCAAAACTCATACTTATATAGACAGTGTAGACTCACGAGATAGAGAAAGAGAGAGAGCAAATTGTAGTCATAATGACTGGTGGACTTATGATTAAGCATAGCTTTATATCCTAGGGCTAAAGCCATGGACGTTATTAATAATAACCAATGACTTGTGACACTATCGAATAATGGGTTCCCAATAATAAAGTGGTCGGTTCATTCAAGAGTCCCTTCACCCAAATCGTCCCCGTTTATTCATTTCATTATTTTGGATTTGAACAGAAACATATGAAAGAGTCAAATGGAGCATCGAGCGCTAGAGGGCGAGCCCATATCTTTGGGTTAATGTGTTATGTGCATTCAATGACACACAGTGAATGAAGGGTATGATGCTAATTTGTATATTTGTGTATGACTGTATTTGCAATGAGCCTTTTTTTTTTCCTTTTCTTTTCTTTCCCTTCCACATAACCAAAGTTCATAATGATGCCCCTCTTTCTCTATTTTCTTCTTCCATATCAATCATACCCATTTTCTTTTTTCTCACTCTCTCCCTCTTTCCCCTTTCCTTTTCACCACTAAATATATAAAATATCTCTATATACAGATTTGTACATACAAAAAGGTAGACTACAGCCCCACTCTCCATGACTTCTCTTGAAAGCTAGCATTTCTGCTTAATCATAAAAGATTTGTTCAACTTGGAATTCATTGGCTCTACAATAATTTTATCCCTTTTGATTAAAAACTTGTTATTTTTCTCAAAAGGATCGAGGGCTTTGTTGACAAGATACCCACGAACGACAACATTACTACATATATACAATAGATATTGGAATATAAGATGGCAAAGCTTCTACACAAGACTCAACTCTAAAGGACCGCGATCAACCCAACTATGGTTTAGTAGATAAGACACCTACCAATTGTCTCAAAGGACGACGAATTATAAGTTCAATAAGATACATCTAATCTTGACTCATCTTGACTTGTCTCGTCGACGTATCGTGCATTTTGCAAACGTTGGAGCTAGTACTGTATCCCATGGGGTGTGTAATGCTGAGTTGCAGTGTGTATCATTTCTTCATTTACTACTGCTACTAGCAAGTACTCAATAATTGTAAGTTGAAATAATGAGGTTTTGGTCCAATACAATAGAGGGGAGAGAGAGTAGACCCACTACAAGCCTGCACTTTGTTTCCTCTTCTACCTCTGCTTTAATTTGTACCAAATGATGTATTGAAATGGGAAGGGAGCTGAGATATTATAATTGCCTTAGTCAACAAACAAATCAAGGGGGGGGTGAAATTCTTCTTTTTTCTTCTTCATCTTCAAGTGTTCATAGAGATTTGCCCCTTTGCTCAAAATTATATATATATATATATTTTTTGTATGAGTTTGATGTGGCCAATCACATGCACACCAATCATGAGATGCTATGCATCACTAAATCTCACTCTTTCTTGTGTGTCATTGGTGTTATTCCTTGTTCATTTATTATCAATCTTGTCAAGCCATTCATTCATGTCGGTAATATATCATCACCACAACATTTCTTTTTTCTTTTCCCTCTATTGAAATAATATTTGGGCTTGGTACTGTCCATTTCCCCTTCACTCAACAATTTTTAAATTTAGAACACAGAGTCTTTAAATATTTAACAAATTGTGCAAACTAAATAGGAAACATGAGTCAAAACGAGCATTGGTAATTAGCATATCTCACCAATCAAGAGATTGTGAGTTCCATTCTCCACTCCCATATCTTGTACTCGATAAAAAAAATAGGAAACTTGAAAAAAAAAATCGACCTTTATTTATTTATTATTTTTTTAAACATGTGGGATGGGGTTTGAACTCACAATCTTGAACTATGTTTAGGTTAGTCGATTTTTAATTTTTATTAAAAAAAATAATGAGGTATGTGTTGTTATAAATTCTATTAACAACATCCTAAACGATGGCTTAGCTCCTTATTAACAAAACTTGCTTACAAATAATAATATGATCCTCTTTCTTATAGTCAATTAAAATGGTAAATTTTGCAAGAAGAGATGAAAAATGGTAGCTACCTCCTTTAGATGATTCCTT